AGTGGTAGAAAACATGTAGATATGTTGGGCGCGTTCGGCTTTTTTATTTCGTTCGTTCATCTTTCATGAACGACCTATTTCGTAATTTTTTATCGTTTAAAAAATGGATTTCGTTCTTTCTCAGAATTATAGTTCCTTTTCCATCTATTTCGTTCGTTTTCTTACTGAACGATCGTTTCGTAAAATCGTTTGTCCAGTAAAATCGTTTGTTTGATAAAATCGATCGTTCAGTAAAAAACCATTGTTTTTAATTTCGTTCGAAAAAATCGTTTGTTCAGTGAAAACGATCGTTTTTTAAAAAGTCAAAAATTTTGTTCGTTCGCAAAAACTATGCCCGCTCTGCGAGGGGGGGGAGCATCATTTCTTTCTGCGGGGAGGGAGGGAGTATCAATTCTTTTACCTGTCGTTTATTATTATATAAAGGTGCACGTTGAGGTAAAGCTAAAGGTCCATTGGGAGGAAGGACGACATCTCCACCTCTGTGCTCAACGGGCAGATGACTTAGGTCTTCGCATAATACAACCTAAATATATTCATAACATAGAACATTTAATAAATTAACATTTTAGACATGAACAAATATAGGAATTTTCATAGATTGACAGGACTTTTCATAGTCCAAATATTTCAAAGATGATCATTTCATCTTCTAGATTAAAAAACTTTATAATAAACAAACAACAAGATAGGAAATTTATCAGATAGTACAATTGCTCGATAATATAAATGTGTTTGTATATTTCAGAGACAAGGATATTTAAAAAAAAAAAACATTCTATAGATGTGAACATAAAAAAAATTATTTCATGGATCGGAAATTTCATAGAAACATTTCTTAGATAACATTATTTTATAAAACGGACATTCTTAGATCAGACTCTCATTTACAAAATATATAAAAATCCTTCAATTGCAGATATTTTAGTTCATGAGACATTTCTTAAATAATATTATTTCATAAAACGGACATTCTTAGATCGGACTCTCATTTACAAAATATATAAAAATCCTTTAATTGCAGATATTTTAGTTCATGAGACATTTCTTAAATAATATTATTTCATAAAACGGACATTCTTAGATCGGACTCTCATTTAAAAAATATATAAAAATCCTTCAATTGCAGATATTTTAGTTCATGAGACATTTCTTAAATAATATTATTTCATAAAACGGACATTCTTAGATCGGACTCTCATTTAAAAAATATATAAAAATCCTTCAATTGCAGATATTTTAGTTCATGAGACATTTCTTAAATAATATTTCATCGTCTGAATATTTTAGTGTAAACATTTCATATATAGGACAGTTAATAATCAACAAAATCGTAGATATTACAATTATCAGAAAGTATAAATCAGGGATAGAAAATTTAAAAGAAAAGCATGACATTTTATAAATAGAAAAAAATCTTATATTGTAAAAATTACAGTGTAGCTGTAATATATAAAGAAAGATATTTTTGGAAAAAAGAATAAAGGAATTTTTTCGATTCTTATCTAGAAAAAATCCTCTTAAACTTTATATTTCCTTTCTATTGAATGTTCTATTTAAGGGATTGTAAGCGTAATTTCAAGTGACCTTCCATGCAAAATGGCAATGCCCAATTTACAACGCGTGGTAACATAGAAACTTTCATCTGAGATGGAATTTAAAGAATTTGAGCCGCGGTTTAAATCTGCCAAACCCGGTTTAAATTAAGCGCCGCCTTAAATCTTGAAACATTTGATACAATTTTAAGTGAAACCGACCATATTTAAGCCGCGACTTAAATTTAAACCGCCGCTCAAATTCTTTAAATTCGGCCACTGATCAAAAATGTGGATGATACTGTCGTTTTTCCGTTTCTTTCAAACAAGAAATACGGAAGTCCCTCTCTCATTGAGAATACACAAATAAAAATAAACAGTTTTAAGAAACAAAACATTGATATCTTATTTATACTAGATCAGACAAAGATTTTAAAATATAGAAAAGAATTATTTTTATTTTTTGCCTTTTGTGAAGCAGATTTTTTACTATACCTTCCTACATAGAAAGAAACTGAGTCTTTAGCACAAGCTTAAATTTTCTAATTCCTACATCTTTGCAACACCTGATTTTTAAAACTTAGATTATTTGTTCTAATAGAAATCGTAGTTTGCAAAGATATAGGGATAAGAATTTCAGAGTATATGGCAAAAACTCAATAATTACTTTTTTATTCTTCTTTGAATATTGTATAGGTATATATTGCATATTCTTTTTAAAATATAGAAAAAGGTTTTGTTGGGTCTTTTAAGAGGCAGATTTTAGTGATTGATTACACCTTCAAAACCAAAAATGTACCTCAGGCCATTTTTTTAAAGATAAAAATACGTAAACATGCGTGATATCTGTACTTAGTGGGTAGTCGAACAGAAACTGATTAAACTCATAGATTAATTAAAATAACAGATAGAACACTAGATGTCGTCTTTTCAAAATTTCTGTCTGTCTCCACCTACTTATCCAAGAAATGAAGAATGTAATAAATTTATTTATATATTTAATGTCACGTCAGAAGATTTGGTGGATTTAAATTCTTCCTCATTCTGTGTCTTCGGATCGTTAAAATAAAAGAAAGGAGAGTAGGAAAATAAAAAAAAATAAAATATTTTACGCTATTTTGAAAGTTTTTTCCGCATCTTTCTGTTAAATAGAACATCCATCCACACACAATGACAGAGCGTGGGAAAATATAGAAATGGTTACGCTTCGCGTACGTTACATAATGTGAGTAGCGTATGCCTTTTCTGATTTTAACTTGTCTTAAACCTTCTTCTTGATAATCTAGGTTTTTTAAAGTTATTAATTTTATAATTATAATATTTAGTTTTTGCAACCAAACTAAACTTTACAACCATGCATAGTAAGTATTAAATTTTATATGTCATATAAACAATTTATAGGAGGACCATGATCAAGTCATACATAGCCATGTACTAATGTGTTAAAGTGAGTGAAAACGCACTCTTTAACCCAACAGTGATATCACCGTATTAAATGTCATGTTTCACTTTTCTTCAGAGAAATCAGCTAATTACTTTCTAAGAGACCTAATAGCTTGCCTCAAACTCTAATTTTTCCATTTTATACAATTCCAGCATGGTTTGTCAATCTCTAATTATTCGATATAGCCGAATTGAATATGTAAGGTCTATGCCATCAGATTGCAAAAATATATGAAACAAACAATAAAGTTTGAGGCGAGTAATCAGTTCCATTCCAATTTTCGATGGTAAATAGTTGATATTCATTCTGTTTTAATTTTTCATTAACTTTTTCTTATGTCGGGAACTTTTTTTAATAATTTGTGTTTTTCTACCTGGAAGAACAGGAGGGTCCAACTTAATCTCAGTTTGGTTTTCATCTCAGCAATTGTACAACTTATTTTTGCTAGAATCACAGGAGAGCAGGTATAGTTTGTTTTAATCCCGATAGATGTCAGATCAGGACAAATAAAGAAGTCTTCTTTTCACTCTGATGGAAAAACCACTCCAAGCATTTCTCTCTGAAATTATAAATAAATAAAAACGTTCTAATGAGAAAAAATAAATATGAAAATTTAAATCTTGAAATAAAAAAACTGGAACCACAAATTCTTTTGATTTTCAAGCTAAAAGTTAAGGAGAAATTATGTATTCAAACAAGACTAAATAGTTTAAAAAATTGTATATTTAACATATTTCCAAACTATGAACGCACAGGGTCGTTGCATAACATTAGCTAGAAATCTTTAAAATATTCGAATTCTTAATTCTGTTTTTAAACAATATACAGGGTGTCCCAATAAACACAATGAGACTTGAGCGACGCTTTTTTATATCGTCATTGTACGGTTATACTTTTCAGGAAAGCTACAGTGAAACCCTGAATGACGAATATATCGAAAGAATTCATCAAATGTCGTATTCTTCACTTTCTGATAATGGTATGCTGCAGATACTTAGTTTTTTAATTAAATGATTATATGGAACTCTTTAAAACTGTTCCCGCATATTCATGGCTATTTTTTTATTTTCGCAAATACTGAAATTTACGTAATGTAGTATAAAACTCATTGAAAAATTGTCAAGACGACATTTGATAAATTCTTCCGATGTATTCGTTATTAAGGGTTTCACTGTATAATTCGTAGAATTTCCTCTGCTAGAGTTAAGAATGCGTTTGTTTATGTTTTTATTGCATACTGTTGTACTTAGCAAAACTGTGTACTTCTTTTCTGTTTATCTTTTAGAAATGTCACAGAACATCTGAAAAGTTTTGCTGAAATCCAAAAAAGTCTTTCACGGTTTATTTAGGATAAACTATAGCAGACGTAACTTTATTTTGGCACTTTCAGTAATGCAACGCCAATTCTTAACAAAGAAGAATTCGTCTCTTAATTTCACAAGAGTATTGGGACACTCTGTATACTCTATATAGGCATAGCCAAGGGTGTAATGCAAGGAAAGTTAATTGCGGTCGTGTATACTCTGCGTACATATTGAAACCAGTTCTCTTTGGGCGGAATTTGTAAACAAGAATAGATGCATCAGTGTTCATTTAGTATTCGAGGAGGTTAAAAGCATTAAATTTGATAAATTTGATAATTCACATAATAGTTTCCTATGACCAGAATATTCATTGATTTTTTTATGTGAAAGATGGATCCCATGTCAGGCTTTGACATCCGTCTTGTGTTTACATTACCGCCCAGAGACAGTACACTGCAGTTCAAAAGATGTGTACACTTCTGACTGAAATAACTTTCCTTGCATTACATCCTTGGGCATAGCATAGAAAGAATTAATTAATTATATACATTAATTACAAATTATATTAATTAATTAATTACAAAATATACGCTTTACGTAAACAGCACAAAAGGTTTGACTTCAGAACCCAGAGCTATTGTATTGTAAATCTCATTTTTTTTTTTTAATAATTTAATATCTCTTTGATGTCTCGTGATAGTCATACCCTGCAGGGCCGGACAACTTCAAATGAGGGATCATTTCCCAGTCCAGCGGAATTCCTTAGGAAGTATTGCATTTAGTGAGCACTACTGCACGCAGAATCCAGAGTTTTCCTCTTTTAATAGCTCTGCTCAGGGAGCAGGGAAAGGGCCCTTCCAGAAATGGCTCCGATCGCGAATTGAAGTGAATATAAAACCGGATTAGTATTAGACATAATAGCTTTGTTATTCCTATTTCTTGACTTAATACCCCGGCCCTGGCTACTGTAGTTAAGAAGGAGGCTAGCTAATTGAGCACGTGGTTCGGGTTTCAGGGCCGCTTGGCCTTCTCCCTCCCTATATATGTGCACACACCTTTCTCATCTTTCGGCTCACTGTGAGTTTAAGAAATTTTCGCTAATATAGTTAGGTATTAAAAATGAGAGCTAACAATAATTTGATCCCATCTTATTTTTATGTTTTCAAAGATGTTTTGCGAAACAACACAATTTTGTTAGAAGAAATATGACTATGCCTATTTGTCTTCTAATTGGAAGATATTTTTTATTTTTTTTCTAAAAATTTTAAATTTTGAGATAAAATTTTTCTACTTACAATTTTAAAAATTTTCATTCTTCAAAACATGATAAAAAAAGCAAATTGCAAAGTAAATGTCACTAATACTATATATAGTCACTATATAGTAATATTTGAGATGTTGGTTGGAATCGGCAAATATTTAATAATGTAAACAATAATTCAGAATTTTTTCCGATGTTTGTTTGGGCCATCAAGGAATTTTTCCCCTTTGCTATCCTTAATGATTTTTAAAACGCTATACCCATACATTAAAAATATATACATACTAAAGGAATTCAGTCTTTATCACAAACTCAAATATTCTAATCCCTTTATCTTTTCGACATGCAATTATATTACTTATGCTATTCTAAACTTGGATTGTTTGATGTAACATATTTTTTTAGCTTGACATATAGGGGTTAGAAAATCAAAACTTTCAACTCAATTCCTTTGCACATTTAAAATTTATCTATAATTCGTAAGATTCTATAATTTTCAACAAATATAACATTTATTTCTCTAAATTAAGTTAGAGAGAATTTGTTATGAATACCGAATGTTGATACTATTGTTAAACCTCGTTAAAAAATCTGGTAAATTTCAGTTTTTGCTAGTTTTTATTATCTATAATAATTTCAGTAAGCTAACATTCATAGTACTTTACAATTAGTTCAAAATATGAAGAATATATGCATGAATAATACAAAAAACGTGTATTTATCGAAATAAAACCAAGTAAAATATTAAAATATAAATGGCGCCAAAAGTAAAGTAGCTTGTTGCCATATTTCAAACAAACTCATTTTTCAGTAGTCTCTAGGCCAGGAGACATACGTTTATAATTCTTATTTTTGCAACTAAAAATTTTTGTCTTGAGCCTAAAATATAAAATCTAGGTGTTATGAGCTCACAAAGTTTTAACAGTAATTTAATATGTATGGAGTTACAAATCATGTGTAAAGATCATCGGTCACAACTAGGGTCGTTAATCGTTTTGAAAACGATCGTTTTTTATTCGTTTTTCAATCGTTTTCAAAAACGATAGTTTCGTTTTCGGAAAAAAACGACCGTTTTTAAAAACGACCCACTCGTTTTTTAAATTTCAGAGAACGAATAACGATCGTTTTTGAAAACGATCGTTTTTATAAAAACGATTTCATTGACAATTATGGTAACGATCGTTAACGAAGGATCGTCGGATCGTCTTTAACGATCGTTAACGAAGGGTTGTCATTAACGATCGTTAACTTTATAAAAACGGACATTTAAAAAAATTACTTTTAACTTTATTGAATGTCGTGAAGTTAAACAGTTAAAACTTCTTGATATTTTCTTAAAAACTACTCAATGATAAGTACAGATGCCCTTCAGGTCGGTTTCCTCTCTTCGTTAACGATCGTTAACGAAACGACGAGTTTAATAAAAACGATCGTTTTGAAAACGATCGTTATTCAAAACAATTTTAAATTAAAACGACCATTTTTAAAAACGAACTTTTAAAAAAAAAACTATCGTTTTGAAAAACGATCGTTTCGTTTTCGATTTTTCGTTGTCGTTTTCATAACTAAACGATCGTTTTTCAAAAAATGAAAAATGAACTCATAAGGCAAATTTTGAACGTTTAAGACTAGAAAGGTGTTATATACTATATACAGAGGTTTAAGAAAAATTTAAAAGATTTAAATTAAATGTTTATTTTTGACAAATATTAACATTATTTTCTTTTAAAATTATAACCCCCCTTATAAAATATTGTAGTATATTATTAAAACAGATTTTTTATTGGACCTCAAGGGACAGAATGGTCCAGGTGATTATAAAAGTTCTAGACGATCTCAAGGGACAGAATGGTTCAGGTGATTATGTGTTTTTCCATCTTAATGTAGAGCCTTTATCAATTGTATTATTAATTTAGATTTTGAGTTTAATCTAATAAACAAAGTTGAGCTAACCGTTTGATTAATGATATATCATTTTATTAATTGATTTAGAGGATCAAATGCAGGTTTCAGGAAATCCATCTTTACTTAAGTCGTTGAAATTTTAATTGATCCTCAATTTAAAGAGATAAACGTTCAATTATGATATCTGATTATCAATAGATAGTGTAGCTCGAAAAGTGCTTGATTCTGACAATTAAGTCTTTTTTACTTAAAACATAAATCCACAAATAACTCATGGTTTAAAAAAATCCAATTTTGAAAAGAAAAATATGGATTGCAAACAGAAAACGCGTTGTGAATCGAACTGTGTAAATTAGCGGTCACTTTAGATGACGTCAACAGTCACAGGAAGAAAGATCAGGAACCCCCATATCAGTTTGTTTTTAAAATATGTACTGCAGTTTCTGGGAGGAATATAAGCATAACTTGGCCTGAGTAGAACTACATTTGTTTATATTCTACTGCAGTACATTTTATGTGTAAACAGTACACAGATATGGGGGAGGGGGGTTCTTCCTTGTTTTTTTATTCGAAACTATAAGTTTTTCAACATATTTAAACCCCTCCCATGCGTTTAGAAGATACACTGTAACTGGTTTAGGAAAAACTGAATGAAAGGGAGAGTGTGAGGCGGAGAGTTCGACGCAAGCTGGACAAAGTCCGGTAGAGAAACCGGCGCACAGGGTTTCATCTTTACACAAGGGGAAATGCGTCACAGGGTTTACTGTCACAGGGGGGGAAGGGATCAAATTCCTGCAAGAAAAATATATAATGGTTCTAAGACTTACTTTCAATATAGAAAATAAGAGTGAGCACGCTGAGCATGGCTGGTTTAAAAAATCCCCCGGGTTGGGTGGGTTCAGTTTATTTATAAGTTTAGGAATTAAAGGATTCCAATACCAACTCGGGGGGTAGGGGCGTTATTAACGTTTTCTATATTTTTATGCGTTAGTTTTGACTTAATGAAACTGACCCTTTGCTACAAACTCTGATTTTTTAATCACTATTAAGCAAACCAATGCCGTTTAGACCTTTTCCATTTTAGC